TTGTCCATGTACGTTCGTCCTGTCTTGCAATGATCATCCGTTGTGGATGTGAGCAGATGGTGGTACGTCCCTTGAAGAAATACTGGAAGAAGAAAATTTGGAAGAGGCGAATCTAGTTGGAGTAGAAGTGAAGGCCGAGCCTTAGAGCGCTCGATAGATTAGAATTATGAATTGTTAGCTTAGTAGGACGTTCGGCTAAATATTTTGTAAAGCCGTTCGTCCTAATTATCCCTGAACCCTATTTTGAGCGTACGTTATTTGTATCTAAAACCGTTCGTTATTTAGCGCTCGTTGTTTTGAGTTGTATATTGAAACTCTGCAACCTTAAGCCGTTTGGCTTTTGAACTTGGTTAATTGTAAAGACTGCTTATTTACTGTTAATTGTAATTAATTCTAAATTATGGTAATTACTATATTTTGGGATGTTACACTGGTCATTCACAAAACTTTACGTCCTATCCCAATTTAAAATAAGAAAGCAAATGAAAAAAAAAAAAAAAAAGATTATACTCATAAATCATAAATGGACTTGTCTAATACAATATAACCAAGCACATTTTGCTTTAGAAGTCAGGTTAAAAGAATGGTGAGGGAGAACCGAATAAATGTGAGGGGAATCGAATACATGTGAGGTGAAGCGGATAAAACCCAACGAGAATCGAATACAACCAAGAAGCACGTTTCTTCTCATGGAACCAAATACTTTACGTGTTATTTCTTCAAGGGCAAATATGAGATTTCAGACCAAATCACTCCAAATCTCAGCTTCTTGTGACCGAAAATGTGAATATCCTACAAATCCACTTGAATCAATCTTCGCATATCCACCCAAACGAACATATTTCATCTTGCAAATCCGTACTTTCCTTTTTTTCGTAAATAGTTAATTCATCTCAACTGAACATAGTGTTAATGAGAGAGTGATAAAAACTTTTTATCTAACCATATAATTAGATCAAATTTCAACAAACCTTATATTACCATATGTGTTTTTATAAGATAATATGAAACATAGAAAATACAGAAGGTTAGTATCATATCTCATTAGTCTAATAACCATCACTTATACACATAATTTTTTTCCTAACAGTGCATTACAATAAAATATATAATTTTCAACATTATATAATACAACAAGTAAAAACATATGAATATTTATACGTGCTATATTTTTATAGAAGATATTCTTTTGTCTTACCTCTTAAAAGATCTTACTAGAAACATATATGAAGAATTAATGATGTCAAATATAACCTAATGAATTATTGTTATGTTTAACTACAAAATAATATAAGAAAAATCTCAAATAATAAAATATTACAAATAATTCAATAAGAATTGAGGTTAGGAAAAGGCAAAAATGATAAAGTAAGAAGTTAGGAAAATAATTGTACAAATCTAATAAAAAGTGTTGGCAAAAGGAAAAACAAAATTTATAAAGTTAAATAACTTTATAATAAATAACTTTATTATATATTAATGTGATTAGAAATAACTCTATATACGTTTAAATATAATAACAAATTTTTTATTATATATATTATTATCATAAAAGAGAATGTACTACCACCAAGTATTATATATAAAAATCAATCCATTTTGAATCATGTAAGTCTAATATATTTTAGAACATCAACACACATGATTGAACAAAAAGAAGTTGGTTGCAGAGAATTGGTCACGTTGTCCCTTCTGTATTTATCTGTAAGGAAGGAGCTAGATTGGTCACGTTTTCTAGTTTGACTAAATGCAGAAATAAATATAAATCAATAAAAGAATAATTATAAAACTATTTCGGCATAAACGAAAACGGAAAGGACGGTGGGTGCAACTGGTAGAGAGAGAAAAGAAGTCTTTTTCTGCATAAAGGAGTTCAACAACTTGAAGTACAAGTTGGTTCACGCTCTGGTGTGAAACCAACGTTACTGCTGTGACATTCAGAGGAGAAAAATACAAGTGGTTTCATCTCATTTTGCTCTCAAACCTCTGTTTTCGAATGCAAATTTTGGTGTTTACTGTGATCCCTTCTTGGCCCGTAGCTGCATCTTTTGAGCTGAGAGCAATGGGTAAGATAAAGTTTTTGTTTTCTATTAGCTTTTTTTCTCGTCATTGGGTGTCTAGATTCAGTTTCATATCCTGTCTGTATTATGCTGCTTTTCAGATTCTCTTTGTTTGTTGTTTTTTTTTTCTAGTTGTTTTTTTTTGTGCCTCATTGTGAAGCTCAAGTATTGTAGGCAGAACCCTAGATTGGTTAACTTGGGTTTGGGGATTGAGATGGAGTTGAAGGGTTCTGACTGTGTTCCGTTGTTGTCTAGTTATGTTTTTGTTTATTAGTGTTTCATTTTCTTTTTTGATTGGTGATGGTGATGGGCTCTGGCTTAGCTGCTACATGCAACTGTGTTTGAATACTAGATGCTTTACACTCTGAATGCAATCGTTTTGCCAGTTTTTATGCTTACAAGATGACCAAAAGCTTAGGGGAATTCAGTACCTAAACATTTTATACTAGTTGACAGAAGAGCTTATATAAGATGTCAATGTCAGTGTCATCTTTGCAGTATATTTGAGAACTTACTGAGACATTTGCGAGCTTGCCTGGTCTCTTTAATTTGTAGTCATTGAAGTCATGCTCCAGTGACATAACAGCTTTCAGGCATGGAAATGCAGTTAAAGTTGTCCACTAAATTCATTCTCTTTTTATTGCCCTAAATTCATCATTAGTACCAAAGTTAGTTATTGCATCCGAATTTGTTAATGTTAATTTAGCAAAAGGTACGCCAATGTGCTGATCCTTTTTTATGGTTATTCTATTTTTTTGCTTAGCATATATTGTATGCAGGCAGGTCATGTATTTGTTTCCATATATTGTGACATCTTATTTCATGTTAATTAATTTCTGGAACTTGTCTTGATTCAATTTTGTTTTCAGGGAGTTTGCTTTATATTTAATTTGCGATTTGGGAGAAAAAGTACAACAGTTCTTGACAGTTTTCAAGATTGCAGATGCTTCAAATATTTATACGGTGTTTAAAACAGCCCAGTTACTAAAATTGTAGTGCCTCAATTTTCAACAATTTTGTAATGCATTTTTCTAGTATAAAGAGGAAAAAAATGGCGTGACTGAACAATTAAGATTTGATAATACGTACAGTAACATGGAATCTAGAGTTGATGAATGGCACCAGTCTCGATCACAGCCAGTGGTGCAGGACCATTTGGATGGCACACATACCCATAGAAGACTAGTTGACTTTAATACATCAGAAGTTAAACCTGTACTTAATTACTCTATACAGACAGGTGAAGAATTTGCTCTTGAGTTTATGAGAGATAAGGTGAATATGAGTAAGCCTGTATTATCAAATGTTAGTGATTCGAATTATACCCCAGGTTATATGGAACTAAAAGGCATTTTAGGTATCAAACATGCAGGATCTGAAAGTGGATCTGATATCTCTATGTTCTCAATGGCTGAGAAATATCCAAAAGAATTTGATACAACGAGTACATCTTTACCTGGAGACAGAATCAACTATGGGTCTATTCAATCAATGCCAAGAACTTCATTGAATCAGGATAATAGACAATTTGTGCCTGGGTATGGCTCTTTTGGAGCTTATGATAGATCAATGATCATTAAGTTTCTTTGCAGCTTTGGCGGTAAAATATTGCCACGACCATGCGATGGAAATCTAAGGTATGTTGGAGGCCAAACACGTATTCTTCGACTAAGAAAGGACATATCTTGGCTGGAGCTCATGCAGACAGCATTTCAAATCTATAGTCAGGTTTATGCAATCAAGTATCAGCTTCCTGGGGAAGATCTTGATGCTTTGGTATCTGTGTCATCTGATGAGGATTTGCAGAATATGATGGAGGAATGTAATCATCTACAAGATAGGGAAGGATCACAAAAACCTAGGATGTTTTTGTTCTCAATGAGTGATTTGGAGGATGCTCAATTTGGTCTCAGCAGTATGGGTGATGATTCTGAGATTCAGTATGTTGTTGCCGTTAATGGCATGGACTTAGGATCAAGAAAAAACACTACAATGATTGGTGTCAGCGTTTCTGCAAATGACATAAATGAATTGAACAGGCAAAGTATTGACAGGGAGACTAATAATAGAGTTGGTATAGAATGTATTGTACAAGGAAATCCTCCCCCAACTAACAATTTTGACTCATCATTGGCTTCTCAATTTTCACCATCAGTGCTACCAACTTCCTCAAATTCATATGAAAAGTATCCACTGTTTTATAGTGATCAAATGATGTGCCATGGCAAACTTAGTGATCAATACTTTATTAATGAAGGCCTTGATCTTTGTCATAAACCTGTTATTGGAGAGACCCCGATGATTATGCCTCCCCATATGCTTGTCAATCAACAAGGGATTTTAAATGAAGGCCTTCCTCCTCGAGGAATACAAGTACAAAATTCAGAAATACCAACAACATTGGCAAACAAGATGGTTACTAGTTCAATTCCACAAGTAAGTGACCCTGGGAAAGTTTTGGCATCAGAATTACCATCACCCGCTCCTGCTCAACTGCTTAATGGTTACATGAAAAATAATTTTCCTGAAGCATCTGTTGTAGTTACTGTGTCAGAGGGGTTTCCATTGCATCCACCAAGCGTGAACAAGGGCCAAGATTATGAAGAAACTTCTTCTACAAGCAGTGCATTTGGTCCTACTTATGTTGATTCCCACTCCAATGCTTCTGACTTGAGTTCCCTTCATCCTCCTCCTCTTCCTAAGAGAGTTTACTATTCAGAGAGAATTCCACGCGAACAAGTAGAGTTGCTGAACCGGTCCTCAAAATCTGATGATACACACAGCTCTCAGTTTCATGTTCCAGATTTACTCTCTGATATCAACCCACCACATTCAGTTACAGAATCTGTTGACAAGTTGCATGATGGAAATCTGTCTGATCTAAATGAGGAATTAAGCATCATAGGAAATCCGTTGCATGCAAATGTATTTGCAGTTGAAAATGGGATTGTCAATAATCAAATCTACAAACAGCCGCCTGATGCAAACACTCAGATAAAATCAAAGCTAACTGAGCATGTGAATCCTGAGCTGAGGCAGGTATTATTGGACAATGAAGGACACACAGATGTGTTAAATAAAGATAATGTTGTTGGGTTGGAAATGAAAATTAATGGTAACAATAGCTATAACAAACCCCTGATTGATGAGACAAAAGCCAGTAAACCTGACTTGCAGAATTTGCACCAGGTTTCTTCTGGTAAGATTCTTAATGATCCTGCATCCACTCTTCCAGAGGTTGACTGGGGTGATACCTCTGTGAAAGAGTCTAATGACAATGTTAATGTGCAAGCCTTACCTGTATCTCTAAATGGGAATATTGATGATGATTCTGAAGAATTTCCTTCTGATGTCATTATGAACCAAGCACATGGTGACATCCTTATTGATATTAATGATCGGTTTCCCCGTGAATTTTTCACTGATATATTCTCTAAAGCAGTACTTGAAGAAGACCCCTCTAGTTTCCATCAATTAACTTCAAATGGAGTGGGCTTAAGCGTAAACATGGAAAATTGTGATCCTAAACGATGGTCGTATTTTCAAAAATTGGCTCAAGCAGGCACTGATAATGTGTCTCTTATTGACCAAGATCATCTTGGGTTTGCACCTGCAATAGGAAAAGTGGTTGGAGATGATAGAGCTCAACATGTTACACCTTTAACAACTGATGAAGTTTCTCTGAACCATGCAGAGTCCCACCTTGATTTTGTTGAAGAAAATTTGCTTGGAAGAACTGGAGGAGAAAGAAAGTCTAACTATGATCATTCCCAAGTGAATGACATTGAAAGCATGCAATTTGATGCCATGATGGAAAACATAAGAGCTCAAGAGTCAGAATGCGAGGTATGATTTTAACTATTTTTGGTTTTGAAGTATTTATAAATATGTGTATATGCTTACAAAAGTTCTTATTACTTAGGTTGGGATGTTTGAAAAAAGGAATAACAATCTACATCCTCCTGATCCTTCTTTGGAAGAGATTGATACGAGTTCTTTGCAGGTAAGATGCTTATTCATGAGTGCATTCTTGTGTTTGCAATTGTGGGTACGGGAATTAAAGAGATTTTGCTGAAGAAAGTTCATCACTGGTTATCCGACATCTGTAGTTTATAAAATAGATGCTAATTAGAATAATATTGAGAATGCAAATTTTCCTGGTGTGGTTCTTAATTATTCATTTAATTATCAAGAGTTGATTAGGTTGTGGTTGAAAATTTTAGTTTGCACTTTGCAGTAGATTAGGAGGCTTGTATTTTATTCATAAACATGACCTGATCATGTTAATCCACTCACATCCTCGTATTTTCATTTAAATTCTCAGTGTCACAGAAATTGCAATAATAACAAAATCCCCCAATGTTTCTTTCTACTTCCAATCTCCTATATTTAGAAAAATGGCATTTAAATTCCTTACAGCTTGTATAAAATACTAATGTACGTTGGTACCACAAGGTTCCTCACTAGGTGATGGTATGGGAAGAAGATTGTTTATGCGTCGCCTGACCTTGCATATGTCATGAGGTTGATTTTATATTCAAACCCTTGACTAACCAGTCACCAATGATCATTGCCTTTCAGTTTCTCATTGCATCAGTAGTCGTTGATTCCTTCTTATTTTGGATGTTCAGAAATTTCCTGCTCAAAGCGTGTTAAAACAATGATTATTGCTGATTGTTGCTGATACATTTCAGGAAGTTTTATATGTTAGCCTTACTTCATTTCTATTCTATATCATTAGAGTATCTTGCTATTAATACTAGGATTGTTTATGTAGAAACAATCCCATAATCACAGGGATTTGTTGTCCAGTTGTATAAGTTTTTCCTATTAAAATTATCAGTAGGCTCCTGTGTACATGAAGCTGATGCATCTCATAAAATAAAATATCACGGATTATTCCTATACTTGAGAAAGGAGAAATCAGTTAAGATAGTTAAATATAAATAGGGGAAGAAGGATAGGAGTATAAGAGAGGGGGATACTCATTTTTTAAATTGAGCATTAGCTCCTTGTGAAAGGAGAAACCCTTCACTTCACAAAAGGTTTCTCTTTTCACAGAGAACTAATTGTCAATCTACAAAATGAATATCACCCTCTCGTATCCTGCTTCCCTTATATATCTAAGTAATGTCTCAAATAACTAATTAACTCATTAATATTCTAACTATCTTAACTGATTTCTCCTTCTCCTTATATCCTAACACAATGTGTGGAGAGTAAGACATTTCTTTATGTGGATTGCTGTTGCTTGATGTTTGTGTTACAACATTCTCAAGTGGAATTCACTCTAAGATTTCTTTATATTTTGTGTTGATGATGCAATACAGTGTAAATATGTCTTTTGAACTTAATGACCATAGATAGTTAGGCCTTCTTTGTCTTTCTTTAGTTGTTAAGTGCTACTTGATTGTACTCACTACTGAGGCTTCAAAAATATTTACAGTATGTTAATAATTTTAGTGGTTCTTCTTCGATGAAAAGGGGTGTGCTTTACTGGACCAAAAATTTGATGAAAAATAGGGTTGTACCTAGAGTAAATAATCAAATTATTTGTCTAGTGTCAACTACTGCTCGTACTGTTTTCCCTGTACTTCCTAATAGTTCATTCCAGCAGACTTTACCTTATGAAATTACTTCAAAAGAAAGCTTACAACACTTTACTTGGGGAGCTAATTTAAATTGTTCTTGTAACCACTGATATTGATAGCTTCTATTCAACAAGTTTTTGGTAGAATGTTTCTTTGACATGATCTATATCATGTAGACTATCAGTGCATTTTATGGAAAAGTCAATAACGTTCTTGGTTTTGGTATGTGTCTTGGACATTTTTTTCTTCCCTCATTTGCCCTTGTGAAGTGTAGGGGTGGGCAAAATGTACTATACTGTACTGCACTATAAAAATTTTTAGTTAACTACAAACCAGTTCAAAAAAACTGCACTGAACTAAAAAATAGTACAGAGTAATTGAACTGAAATATTTTTTAGTTCAGATTAACTAAACTGAACTAAAAAACTGACCTTGAAATCATCATGAATCAGCAATCTGCAAAAACCACTCGTTGCTGTCAATAACATACTCCAGTGGATGCGGCTCTCCTCTTAAAAATGTTCGAGCATATAATTCACCTAGTTATATATTTCATCATAAAATTAAAAAATAAAGAAAAAATTGTACATTATATTAGAAGCAGATTCCATGTGGTTTTACCCGAGCTCTTATCTTCAAGTTTTATGATGCATTCTTCTCCCTTGCTAAGGACGTTAAATATCCCTTTCCATTTGTTGACATCCAATTCATCAGCTCTGAAATGAATCTCACTAAATAAAAATCCAGTAATCACACACTCCAGATTAGGAAAAAAAGTCACCAAATTTCCAAAATCAGAAAACCAATTTCTCCATAAAGAACATTAACAAAGCTAATGAAAGACCCAAAATAATTAAAAGCATAGCAGAAGTGATAACACAGATCTAACACCAAAGACAATATAATAAAGGATAATGAAAATGCCAAAAGGAGCTTCAAAAGGATAATGATAATTCACCTGAAGGATAATGGTTGGAGATTCAAAAGGAGCTTCATGAGGATCACAAGAAATCCCCTCACTTTCTGAGGGACTGTCATCCAGTGATGATGATGGTGACACATCCAGACCAATTCCACTATATATTACATCATTTTTGCGTGTTGATAAATTATCTGGATCCATTTTGATTTGAACCATGAACCTCTCGTTTCTCTGATGATAACTAAATCTTTCTTCTCAAGTTAGTGTTGGGTATGCCAATTTAATGTTTTATATGGTCAAAATCTTTCTTCCAACCCATCCTTACTATCTTATTAGTGTTTTCTTTAATCTTTGTCCCAATTAATTACACATCATCATTTACACAATTACATCTGATTATGAACATTAGCAACATTATTACCGCGTTTGGAATAAAATCTAAGGCCAACAAATACAAACCAAAGCATACAACCACTTAATGATTCCCAAAATCCACACAAATTTCTCATAAACTCTATCCTGCTTCAATCAAAATAAACTAATTATCCAATGTCACCCCTGAAAGCCTGTCTAAACAGGGAGTTAACATTAAAAACAAAGTTAACCAATGTACCCAATGGACAGAATGCAAAAAAAACATATAACACCCATCCAAAGCAACAATCTTTCATTAGTTTCCATCAAATTCCTCATAAAAAGTCTAAGCTTTGAACAACATACAACACTAAAACATACATAATTTTGAAAGAAACCTAAAATTAACAAAGAAAAAGACACAACACAGCAAAAGTCATTGACCTCTATCTTTATTAATCAATCTAGAACTTTATAGGGTAGAGAATCTACTCTTATCCAAAAGGGCAAATAAAATCAAATTTTCTTAAACAATTAAAACTCCCACAAAATCCAAAAGAAAATCAATTGTTCCTCCAGTGGATTCACCCTAATGTGCATCGCTTTCCAATTTTATTTATCCTTTTTAAAGGGAAAGGAAAAACAACTGTACTTTTGGGTTGCAGAGTGATATGCCTTTACTTCTCGCTAAGAGAGAAATGTTATGTAGAGCCTTCGACAGTTTGACGACGGCAGAGTGCGGCAAAGCCTTCAACGGCGACGAGCCTTCAACGGCTACAAGCTTGCGAACCTTCCACGGGAGCCTTAAACCATAGAAATACTGAGAAAAGAATGTAATGAGGCAGGAGAAATTTTTGATCGCAAACCTAAACCATAATACAGTTAACTGTATTAAAAATAAAATAAGTTAAGTATATTTAAACTGAATTGTTAAACAGTTAACTAGGTTTTAATAAAAATAGTTTAAGTTTTTTTTAAGTATAAAAGAGTACAGATAACTATAGTTTATAGTTTTTAAATAAACTGCGCCCAGACCTAAAGTGCATGCTTCTAAACCAACTAGCTGATTTTTATGCCTTCACAAATATTCATGGGCTTCAGATTCATTGACTTGCTTTTTTCTTTTAGGGTTTAGGGTTGCTTGATCACCGGCCTTGAAATCTTTAATTCATTTTTTCCTTTATTTGAATGCAAATTGTAGGTCATAATGAATGATGATCTTGAAGAGCTGAAGGAACTGGGTTCAGGTACCTTTGGCACCGTGTATCATGGAAAATGGCGAGGAACAGATGTTGCCATCAAAAGAATAAAAAAAATCTGCTTCACTGGTCGATCATCTGAGCAAGAGAGACTGGTAAGTTAAAATTTAATTTATGTTTGATGGCATGCACTATGTGTTAGGTTTCTGGAAAAGAAACCTATCCAACTCACTCACAGATACTAACAAACAAGAACTCAGATGGAAAGAATAGTGTTTCTGTATTGCCAAATCAACAAATGTACAAGTATAGTGATCTATACGGGAGCCTAATCCCCCTCCACAGGCCAAATTCCTGTCTTTAACAAAAGAACATTAACTGCCCGAAACAGAAATGCAAGAGCTCTATTTATAGCAGCTCATTTCCGCCTCCTCCTAACTGTTATCACAGTTAGGCTTCTAACCAACCTTCCCCCCTACCTTTCTAACTTTCTCTACTCTTCCTCCTCCTCTCATAAACCTTCCAGCCTCTATCACTATGACTTTCCAGTTTAGCTATGTCCTAACTTTATTCTTTTTTTCCTTCTCCCTACATTTACATGAAAGGCCTTCTCACTAACAGACGTTACTTTTTCAGACTGTAGAATTCTGGCGGGAAGCTGATATTCTTTCCAAGCTTCATCATCCAAATGTGGTGGCATTTTATGGTGTAGTGGAGGATGGACCCGGAGGAACAATGGCTACTGTTACAGAGTACATGGTGGATGGTTCTCTTAGGCATGTGTTACTTCGCAAGGATAGGTAACACACCTAGAAAAACATTTTGGTTATTTAGTTTTATTAACCAATTTTGCCTAAAATGTTGTTTTTTATTTCTGATCATTGTATTAAGAAAATAATCAGTATGGTGCTATTATATCAGTTCAAGGCTTACTATTGCTTCTTATTTTAAGAGAAAGTCATGCCATAAAACAATAAAAGTCCCTTTTCTATACGAAATGGATGATAATTCATGTATTTTACTAAAGGATTTGAATTTTGTTGCAGGTATCTTGATTTTCGTAAGAGACTGATAATTGCGATGGACGCAGCTTTTGGAATGGAATATTTACACTCAAAAAATATTGTACACTTTGACCTAAAATGTGACAATTTGCTGGTGAACTTGAAAGATCCTATGCGGCCTATTTGCAAGGTAACTAACCTGTGAGACTTTTACTTCGGTTTTCTGTGAACATGAAATGTTATGCATTAATTAGAGGTTAAGAAGGCTAAGAAATTTTCTTTTCTAGGTTGGGGATTTTGGATTATCAAAAATTAAAAGAAATACCTTGGTTTCTGGTGGTGTGAGGGGGACTCTTCCTTGGATGGCGCCAGAGCTTCTGAATGGTAGCAGCAACAAGGTCTCAGAAAAGGTGGAATTTTTATCTGTTTGAATGAAATGCATCTTCTATGGTCACATTTATCTAAGGATCTGAGTTGTATTGGTCTCTATTGTAGATTTTAAAATAGTGGCAAAAGTCTGTTTATTAGTTCACTGTATCTAGGATCACGTTCTTCCTCTCATGTTTCAGCTCTAGTTATTGCTTGAGTGCTATAGTGGGTGTCTATGAGACAATGCGGCCTTTAGCAGCACTAGAGCGAGGGGTTTCAGATAAAAGATATCTTTTTGCCCTCAAAATAGCATCACTTTGGGGTGTATTTTAGGGGCAAAGTTGAAGTTTCTCGGTCACTTTCTATAACGTAAAAAAAAATTGAAGTGTGAATACTGTTCCAAATTTTTTATTAGATTTTAATTTTCGAGCATTTATATATGTTGCATAAATTATTTAATTTGTCTGAAAAATATCTGGATATAGGCCATCTTGCTGTGCTGCTATCCAATATTGATAACTTTGCATTGGAATATAAATTTAAGTAAAATATTGGACTTTGAACATTTTAAACATACAATTTTTTCTGTTTATATTGTACTTTTGGAATCTTTTTGTAAGGGAATAGGAGATCTACAATGCTTTTATACCACCTCTATTTCTGTGTACATTCACATTTGTTTTTATCAGCAAAACTTGTCGTTTGGAATTATTGATTGCTGAAATTGAATTTTTATTGGTTTAATGTCTCCGTAGGTACCTATTTTGGTCATGAATTTCAAATAGGTCCTCTTTCTTTTCGGCGTATCAATTGAGTCCTTGTTTTTGTAAAATTGAATCAATTAGAGGTCTGCCGTTAAATTGGACAAACGACCGTAACAGTATTGGTTACGTGGCATGGTCAGTGCAGTTACTAATCAGACGTGGCATTTAAAACGATTTTTGTATTAAATAATTGGTATGCACAAATGTATATTCACTTTTGGGTAAGGGCATACTAGGAAAATTGAAAAACTTGAAGGGCAACCCCCTTTAATTGAGAAATGCAACTGAGATTGGGAAAAAATTGGGGGTTCTTACTATTAGGGTTCGCGTGAGGGAAAAAATCCCATTCTTTCTTCGATTTGAAGCGCCGGTGTTCGTGGGTGAAGATTATGTAGTTGGAAGTGGGAGGGTGCGCGTTCTTTCTTCGATTCGAAGTGATGGATAATGAAGTGCAGAAGTCTGGAAGACCTAAAAGGAAAAGAAGACTGGAGCAGTGGGAGATCAGAAAGGATGATTCACGAGTGACCAAGGGTGGTTTGCGGAAGAGATGCGGGCTATGTAGGGAGGTTGGGCACAACAGGATGATTCTCTCTCCCTTCTTGTTGGTGTTGGTCAGATACAACTCATATGGACGTACGTAACTTCAACCCATAGGGACGTACGTAACTTCAAACACAAACACAACACACATTCTCTCTCCCTTCTTGTTGGTGTTGGTCAGATACAACTCATAGGGACGTACGTAACTTCAACCCATAGGGACGTACGTAACTTCAAACACAAACACAACACACATTCTCTCTCCCTTCTTGTTGGTGTTGGTCAGATACAACTCATAGGGACGTACGTAACTTCAACCCATAGGGACGTACGTAACTTCAAACACAAACACAACACACATTCTCTCTCCCTTCTTGTTGGTGTTGGTCAGATACAACTCATAGGGACGTACGTAACTTCAACCCATAGGGACGTACGTAACTTCAAACACAAACACAACACACATTCTCTCTCCCTTCTTGTTGGTGTTGGTCAGATACAACTCATAGGGACGTACGTAACTTCAACCCATAGGGACGTACGTAACTTCAAACACAAACACAACACACATTCTCTCTCCCTTCTTGTTGGTGTTGGTCAGATACAACTCATAGGGACGTACGTAACTTCAACCCATAGGGACGTACGTAACTTCAAACACAAACACAACACACATTCTCTCTCCCTTCTTGTTGGTGTTGGTCAGATACAACTCATAGGGACGTACGTAACTTCAACCCATAGGGACGTACGTAACTTCAAACACAAACACAACACACATTCTCTCTCCCTTCTTGTTGGTGTTGGTCAGATACAACTCATAGGGACGTACGTAACTTCAACCCATAGGGACGTACGTAACTTCAAACACAAACACAACACACATTCTCTCTCCCTTCTTGTTGGTGTTGGTCAGATACAACTCATAGGGACGTACGTAACTTCAACCCATAGGGACGTACGTAACTTCAAACACAAACACAACACACATTCTCTCTCCCTTCTTGTTGGTGTTGGTCAGATACAACTCATAGGGACGTACGTAACTTCAACCCATAGGGACGTACGTAACTTCAAACACAAACACAACACACATTCTCTCTCCCTTCTTGTTGGTGTTGGTCAGATACAACTCATAGGGACGTACGTAACTTCAACCCATAGGGACGTACGTAACTTCAAACACAAACACAACACACATTCTCTCTCCCTTCTTGTTGGTGTTGGTCAGATACAACTCATAGGGACGTACGTAACTTCAACCCATAGGGACGTACGTAACTTCAAACACAAACACAACACACATTCTCTCTCCCTTCTTGTTGGTGTTGGTCAGATACAACTCATAGGGACGTACGTAACTTCAACCCATAGGGACGTACGTAACTTCAAACACAAACACAACACACATTCTCTCTCCCTTCTTGTTGGTGTTGGTCAGATACAACTCATAGGGACGTACGTAACTTCAACCCATAGGGACGTACGTAACTTCAAACACAAACACAACACACATTCTCTCTCCCTTCTTGTTGGTGTTGGTCAGATACAACTCATAGGGACGTACGTAACTTCAACCCATAGGGACGTACGTAACTTCAAACACAAACACAACACACATTCTCTCTCCCTTCTTGTTGGTGTTGGTCAGATACAACTCATAGGGACGTACGTAACTTCAACCCATAGGGACGTACGTAACTTCAAACACAAACACAACACACATTCTCTCTCCCTTCTTGTTGGTGTTGGTCAGATACAACTCATAGGGACGTACGTAACTTCAACCCATAGGGACGTACGTAACTTCAAACACAAACACAACACACATTCTCTCTCCCTTCTTGTTGGTGTTGGTCAGATACAACTCATAGGGACGTACGTAACTTCAACCCATAGGGACGTACGTAACTTCAAACACAAACACAACACACATTCTCTCTCCCTTCTTGTTGGTGTTGGTCAGATACAACTCATAGGGACGTACGTAACTTCAACCCATAGGGACGTACGTAACTTCAAACACAAACACAACACACATTCTCTCTCCCTTCTTGTTGGTGTTGGTCAGATACAACTCATAGGGACGTACGTAACTTCAACCCATAGGGACGTACGTAACTTCAAACACAAACACAACACACATTCTCTCTCCCTTCTTGTTGGTGTTGGTCAGATACAACTCATAGGGACGTACGTAACTTCAACCCATAGGGACGTACGTAACTTCAAACACAAACACAACACACATTCTCTCTCCCTTCTTGTTGGTGTTGGTCAGATACAACTCATAGGGACGTACGTAACTTCAACCCATAGGGACGTACGTAACTTCAAACACAAACACAACACACATTCTCTCTCCCTTCTTGTTGGTGTTGGTCAGATACAACTCATAGGGACGTACGTAACTTCAACCCATAGGGACGTACGTAACTTCAAACACAAACACAACACACATTCTCTCTCCCTTCTTGTTGGTGTTGGTCAGATACAACTCATAGGGACGTACGTAACTTCAACCCATAGGGACGTACGTAACTTCAAACACAAACACAACACACATTCTCTCTCCCTTCTTGTTGGTGTTGGTCAGATACAACTCATATGGACGTACGTAACTTCAACCCATAGGGACGTACGTAACTTCAAACACAAACACAACACACATTCTCTCTCCCTTCTTGTTGGTGTTGGTCAGATACAACTCATAGGGACGTACGTAACTTCAACCCATAGGGACGTACGTCCCTATGAGTTGTATCTGACCAACACCAACAAGAACGGAGAGAGAATGTGTGTTGTGTTTGTGTTTGAAGTTACGTACGTCCCTATGGGTTGAAGTTACGTACGTCCCTATGATAAAACCTGCAAAAATTTAGAAAGTCAAAGTTAAAGTTAAAGTTACGTACGTCCCTATGGGTTGAAGTTAAAGTTATGTACGTTCTTTTAACGCCTTTTAATGTTACTAAAGTGATAAACATTGTGAGTTCGTCATCTACATCACCGGACCTGCAAAGCAAAATCCAGAGAAGAACAGAAATGCCAGTCTCTCGCCGAACCTCCGCCGTGGCGCAACCATCTCCCTCACGTCTTCATCGTCAACCTGCAAGCAGAAAACCACAAGAGGCGCACCATCAGAAACCAACCCAGAATCTTCTCCACCATCACCAAGCATTATCGTCGCCGCTGTTGAAGCCACCATCGCACTGCCACTTTCTCCTTCGTCTCCATCAACCTGTGAATAAAAAACACACAGAATCCAATTCGCGGTGCAGGCAGGAAAGCCTTCTTCCAACTTCCAAAGCTAATTTGTTCCTCACACGAACCCTACCCCTAATTTTTTCCCCAATCTCAATTATATTTGTTAATTAAAGGGGTCTGCACTTAAAGTTTTTTATTATTCTCACTTTACCCTTCTAAAAAGCTGATTACACCACTATGCATTCATAATTTTTAATACAAAATTAGTTTATAATGCCACGTCTCATTAATGTGAACTCTGACCATGCCACGTAACCAACATTTAAACGGCCGTTTGCCCAATTTGACGGAAGACCTTTAATTGCTCAAATTTTACATAAAAAAGGACCCAATTAAAAGAAAAGGGACCTATTTGAAATTCCTGACCAAAATGGGGACCTACCGAGAAATTAAACCAATTTTTATTTGTAGGTTGATGTTTTCTCCTTTGGCATAGTATTATGGGAGATTCTAACCGGTGAGGAGCCATATGCCAATATGCACTATGGTGCAATCATAGGTATGATCTTTTTCTTATGTTTTTCATTTCTGTGCAGTTTCATTTTTGCTGTATCCTTCTGAAATTGGCTTTTTCTTCTAATTGAAGTTAAAATATTAGGAAAGCTTCTTCTGTTGTTTCTTAAAACTGAGCAAACCAGCTTTTGTGACATTAGTGATCAAAGTTGAGAATTAAGGTTGGAGAACTGGGAAGGGTTGGGCTTTCAAAAGAACTACCACTTTCAAATGAAAATGTGTAAATATCAGTTATAGAAGTTGAAAAGGAGGAGAAATCCCAGGGTTTTACACCTAGGACTCTAGGCATCATACTAAAATGTGTCAGACAACTACGTGTAGTTAGTTATTTATCATACAGCTACAAATGCTTTCTTCTTAAACAGGTGGGATTGTGAATAACACATTAAGACCAACAATACCAAATCATTGTGATTCTGAATGGAGAACACTGATGGAGCAGTGTTGGGCACCCAATCCTGCGGCTAGGCCCTCCTTCACAGAAATAGCTCGTCGATTGCGCATAATGTCTGCAGCTGCTAAATCATCGGGCCAAAAAGCATCTAGATGATGCTCATGCTGATACCAATGTTGTCATTGATGATTTTTCTTGGATACTGCTGAATTTATTCATTGAATGGTACTCCAAAGTTGTATTTCATTACCAGGGGAAATGCTATCTGGTATACTAATATTTTTTCGATGATTCAATGGTTGTCTGATTAAATTTTTGTTGTACATTCGACTTACCGACTGAAAGGTAGGCTCTGATTGCTTTACTGAGACTGAAAGGTGCTGCAGTAAAGGTATAATGCTCATGGTCATACTAACCCCAATGAGAATCTGCTGTGACTATGACAATATTACTAAAATATGTAGGACTCTTCCTGGCTATGCAACTCTAAAACAAGAAGTTAGACAATGACCCCCTCCCCCATGGCGGGGGAGGCCCTAGTAAAACAGTAGAAATAAAGATACGAGTAGTTTTTCTTACTGCCTGGAAGGTTGACTTGAAGTGCTTGTGCTTTACCGAGATTCTGAGTTGCTGCAATAAAGGTATAATGCTCATGGTCATACTAACCGCAATGATAATCTGCTGAGACTATGGTAAAATAATCAAAATATATAGGAATCTTCCTAGTATGCCGCTATAGAATAAGAAGTAAGACAATGAACCCCCCTCTCCCTCCATCAGGATGTTAAGGTTAGAACAATGCTTTTTTTTTTTTTTTTTTATATTTCTTAGCTTAGTTATCCTTTAATATCACTACCAGTGCTGGATTAGTCACCAGTCCATACTTTTAACAACACTTAAACATACAAGTGTCTCACAGCCTTCATATATTAAAACAATATTCATTAAAGCATTATAAATTAGCACGAAGAATAATCAAGGATGCTAAAATCACAACCAGTCCATCCATGCAGCTGCACCCAGCAAGTGCAACTAGCAGAGAAATGCTCAGAAATCTAGTTTTCCACGAATGAAGAATATTAGCTTCCGGAGGTGTCAAATTTTCCTACAAAGAAAAAGACAGATATTTGGTGATAAAGCCGATGCATGGATTATATTAAGTCCATCATCAACGAACTTTCACAATGTGTGCACGAAACCTTTTCAATGATATTTGAGGCAAAGAATCATGTCCTTTTATGACGATCACCAATTATAAAAAAGCTGATTTTAACTAAATTTATTCCACATTTAAACATTTTACTTGAAGTCCAAGTTGCACCCCCATTAAAATTAGGTGAAGAAAACAACCGAATCTCAGCTCTCAGACGCCGGAATCAAGAAATGACAGTGAAAAGTAGAGAGTATAACAGTAATACTCAGAATACCTTATCCGAATATACATTGACACTGATTTGTTAAAATTGACTTATTATATAAAGTATATTATATTAATAGTAATGTGATTTATTAATTAAAATTGTGTTTTCGAAACAGTTAAATTGAAGATGTATATGAAATTTAATATCATTTTTCATTGAACTTTATTTAGATTTTAACTGAATTCTTTTTTAACTTTCATGAATTGAAGAAAAAAAATATAATTAAGTTAGTCAATTTTTCAATTCACTAATTAATGATAAATTAGACTAAATTCAAAGTTTTAGACGTGTTAAATGTTTTAGTTAGATTAACTTATCCCGTAGTTAACAGAGTGACTTGAGAAACACTAACTAAAATTATTAATGAATAATATTTTAAAACTTAAGATTAATTTTTTTAAATGATAGGCTGCCATCTTTGTGGAATGGTTTGAAAACAAACAGGTCTTAGTCCACCAATATCAGGCCTAAGGGGTTTCCACAATTCAGTGATTCCTTCTCTTTAGCAACAACCTTCATGAAAAGCAAACAATGTGCATGGGAAGTTAAAAAATTTTAACCTCTATTTTTTACGAAATTGAAATCTAATAGGATTTTAGATTCCAAATTATAACTGTTCCTGTGAGATAAGTAAATGATAGCATTAAAGGGTAGAGGTGTCATTTCAACTCCTGGCTCAATGGGTTGATACCTAACCCCTTCTAAAATTAAGCCCCAATTTTCTAGCCCCCTTAATAGGGGGCTTTTAAAAGCCCCAACCCCTAAAGCCCCACATAAAGTGGGCTGGGGTAGGGGTTAGGATGGGGCAGCCCCCAAACTACCTTTCATTCACTTTTAATGTTTTTTTAGTTATTTCTTTTTTATTTACTTTACAAGTTCAATAATTTTCAAAATTTACATGATATTTAATATCTTTTAACTAAATATAAATGATACTCTTGATTTTAATAAAACCTATTTAAATATTTTTTAATTTAAGTATATTTATATATATTTTATTATTTTGGAAAGTTAAAAAAGAAAATTTTTTATTAGTTTATTTTTATTTAAAAGAAAATAAAAAAAAAATTCAAAAAATAAATTATAAAGTAACACAGTGGAAAATTTCATTTTCAATAATCGAATTCTGATATCTATATAAATATTTGAAATATTAATTATGGATAGATTTTAAATTTAAAATTACTGATTGGTAAATTTTAATTCGGTTGTAAAATTTTATTTTTATAGTTTTGTCATATAAAATTCTTTTGTTGAATGTTTTGTATAGATTATATAATACATTAAAAAATTAAACCACAACTTTGTAAAGTTAAAATTAATTTCATTAATAAAAGAACTAACTTTTTAGTGAAAAATCCTGTTAGACAAATTCTTTCCTTATAATATATATATTTCAGTATTAGATTAAATTACTATTTTAAAAAATCATGCTTATCTTTATCCAACAAAGATCGCGTTTTATTAAATTATTTATCATAATGAGCTGATTGTAATAAAATAATTAAATAATAGATACAATATTTTTAAATAAATTAAATGTTATAATTTATAATATAAAAATTCAAATTATTATTGTATTTATTATTAACATATAAATAAATAAAAATTATAATAATTATAATATATAATTACATCAATGTCTCTATAAAAACTTGTTTTTTTTGGCTTTTTTTGTGTTCTTTCGTTTTCTTTTTTTTTCCCCTCTTCCTGCCCTTATTACTGCTCCCCCTTTCCCCTCCAGTTCCCCCCCTCGTCTGCCCTTCTGATGCTCTCTTCCCTGCCACCTCCTCCCATCTTTCGCTTCTTTCTTTTCCTCCCCCTTCTGGCTCCGAGCGGACGGAAACAGATACAAGAAGTGGAAAAAGAAGAGGGGCAAAGCGAGAGAAACAAGAACAGGAGGGGAGAGAAGGGGGAGGGGAAAAAAAGGCGGGGGGGGAAGAAATAAGATAAAATAATACCTGATGAAAAAACATATATGATTTATTTATATAGTTGTTTACGTTAAATAACTTAAAATTAAACGCCTGTCCCTCTAATAGTTTGGTTTTTAAATTACCTATAGGCTTTTGTAAATAATAAAGATTTTAATTTGTACCTGTGAAACTTTAATGCCTATGTTTGCCAACCCAATGGCTAACCAAATACTGTATTTACAGGCATTTAGATCAAGGTGATGATTACTAAAAAGTAAAAAGTTACTCTATATCTACTCCATCAATACATAATTCACACTTCTTAACCTATTTGTGAATCTCGAATCCTCAAATTTACCTAAAGCCAATTAATAATTACTCTAAAATAAATTATATCTAAAAGTTAAAATTTTTTTAAAGCTTATTTAACTATAATTAGAAAGTTAATAGTATTAATTTATTTAAAAAACTTGATATTATTACACTGCAAATCTTCTTACTTTATGGTTACCTTTTTTCGTACAGCTCTTCTCACCTATACAAACATATTAACAATCATGATTTAAGCAAATAATTATTAAAAATACCATATGATGTGATACTTGTAAGATATTATCATTATCATAATGACTTAAATTTAATAAAAAGAAACTCATGAGACTAGGCACCTGGCCTATAGATTAGGGTTTATGATCCTTACGGCTTGTCATCTTCATAAAGGATTGTACATCCGTGGGCTTAATTTCCCTACGTGGGCTAGTAAATTATTAAGGCCATTTGAAAGGTGATTGAATCAAACAGCTGCTGTAGGTTCAGAGTTGGGAAAGGTCATCATGATTCCGCTTCCGACGCAAACGGCGAGATTCTTCGAACCCGATTTTGTGTTCCTGAAGGTTGTTTATTCGGAGGAATCAGGATGAATGTGCTTCCAAAGGCTGAGTATAACCAAAAACACGATCCAGTGGGTCTGATCCCACGTCGTACCTGCGTTTATCTGACAATAAAATGTTATAATAAAAATGTTATATTTCAAAAAACAAAATCGATCGTTTTAATTATCATTTTCCCATTCAGAGGATACAGAATCTTTTGTAATAGACACAATACAAAAAATCCCACCCGTGTTTCTCCAACACAGTCCATATCCTCTATCGTTAAATTAGTAGAAATGTATAAATTTAATTACACTAAAAGTTTTAATTAAAGAACACAGAAAAGGAAACTAGGATACTACAAAAATATGCTTCGTCTCAACGATTTAGATTTTTGTTGTTGGTGACATTTTCAGACCTGCCTTGGGAATTATCATAGAATATTACGAGAATGGTCTTGGATTTACATAAGAGGACTCTGATCGTGTGTCCTATGACATGGAATGCCTCGCTAAAGAAATTCCGGTCTCTCCATATTCATTTAGGATTATTACTCGAATCATTAAAAATCCTCTCCAAATAGAAATGCTTAATAGAAGCTGCATCACGGAGGGATCAGTTCTGGTATTTTGTCACCATTCTGACTTTAACGAATAATTAAAATGTGTAAATGAAATGAAAAGCAACCTTGAAATCAAAAATAACGATGAAATAGAGAGATCCTGGAGATTGAAGCTGTTTTTTTTTCTCTTTCCATGTACACCCCTCTCTTAGTGACAAAGCACCGGAGATAATACATAATTTCATGGGGACAGTGAAGTCCAATTGCAAAGATGATAATTTATTCAAGCAAAGTATCACTTGGTAGATTTCAAAACCTTTAACTGTTTACAACAAATAAAAACGGTTTTAATTCTCACTCATATTTCATAATTACTTTCATGATGCGGATATTTTTGTATGTTCTTATCAATCAAGTTAAAAGTGCTTACTGTGGAGTCCTGGTGTTTGCATTTGAAGCCACTCTTGCTCTTATTCTTTTTATAGGTCTAATTAATACAATTTAGATTTGTACTGCCCTACTTATAGTAAGTTTTGCTTTATAAACCATATCTTATTTTAAAATGATGATGGAAAATGGAACAAAATGTTGACTTAAATCTCAACTCTACGAGGCTTGTCACCGTGTAAATCTAAAAATGACTTACATGTTTATTAATCAAGGTAAAAACAAAAAAACTGTCTTTGAATCAAGTGATACCAAGGACCAAAGCTATGTTGTAAATGATTAGAAGGGGGGAACTCATTAAACTAATAGAAATAACATGAATGCTAACAAGATATAACTAGTTAGTATGTAAAAGAGAGATGAAAAACTTAAATGTGAAAAAAAATCTCTACATTAATTGGAACAAACTTCTAACTGTCATCAAATTCTTGTATATAAAATTTGAACAACTACAAACAATTACAATGGTATCAATTAATCCCATAGCAATTTATTTGGATTAAATAATATCGAGTCTTCAACCAATAAGTCACTGGGAAACGGGGAATTTTGCCAGTAAAATGACATGAGGTGTTCGGAATTACAATATCAGGGTTCCAATCATTCATTTCCACTATCCAATTACAAAATAGAGAAGTTAACACGCTGGATTGAAAGAAAAAACACGGGTTACGATCATGTGAGTTAACACTATAATAGTCACCTTATTTTCAACTACCCTAAAATACTCCTATACCAAGTAATAATAACCTTTCCTTGCTTTTAATAACTCTTCACCATCATTCCTATCAATCCTAGACTGTCTTTGATATCATTTGAAAAAGTTTGTCTATATCCT